GGGATGCGGCATAAGGAAATGGAAATTTCCTTACACTCTACAATCCTCTTTCATAGAATGTGGAAATCACGAACAATCCTTTTTAGGTATCTTCAAAGTATGAACTTAGAACTTGCCCTGCGGATTCAATCCAATGCCTCCCATGAAGTACTTTGAACATACTTCGCGCTAAGGACGCGGCACCTGTTTTCATTTTACAAGGATCGTGGCCTCACATCGATCCTGGCATATCGATCGGCATACCGATGTGCCCCTGCAAATTTGCAATGGGGTAGACACATCGAGCTACAGGTGCCAGGATCGAAATTGCAGGCTCGGGCAGGTTGGAGCTGCCATTACGCTTAAACGCGCAGCCAATCAGGGCAGAGCGTGGATGGTCGTCCAGCAATTCCATTCGCAGCGACTCAAGAATTTTTGGCCTGCGACCGTGGGCGACGCCGATCGAACGAGGCTGTCACCTGTGGCGCGATATGCTCTCCCGCCAACCCTAACGCATGCACCACGGCACATAGATCGTGCGAGCTGCAGGTGCCACCAATTTGGGTACCAGTGTACTGTACCTTCTCGAATTTCAGCGAAAAAAGGATACCAGGCATTGGCGATGTCGCCAATACACTGTACAAGCGGAACATCGATCCCCTCCCACGATCGATCCTGGCAAAATGAAAACAGGTGCCGCGTCCTAAGGTAGTATCCCTGCCTAGTGTCAAGAAGTTAGTGCCAAGAAGTTTGCGCACGCGATTGGTTAAAAAAAACGCTTGACCAATCGCATTGGCCGGACGTTTTCTTTGGACCAATCGGATGCGCAAACTTCTTGACACCAACTTCTTGACACTAGGCAGGGATACGACCTACGTGCATTCATTGTTTTTGGCCCAAAATTTTTGTAGAGCACCTGTACGTTCTGCAATAATCGGAAGGCCTTCATGCATCGTGTCTTGCCTACTAGTAAGAGTAAATGAATCCCACTCCTCTGCCACGGTGGGCAGTGAGGCGCCTCCTTGCAAATGCCGCAGCTGTTACAATCGTTCTTCTCTCGGCTATTGTAACGCTCATTCCTTCTGCCAATGCCGCCGCCAGCTGCAGCGCTTTCCGCGCCACGCATCCCCTGCCGCCGCCGCATCCAAAATTTTCCCCGCTCCGCAAGCCGCCGCAACACTATCTGGCGGCTCCCGCGGTTCAAACCGGGGCTCTCGCTCATCGCGCGCTGATGCGGCGCCTCCCCGTCGCGCCAGCCGCCGGCGCTGCCAGCTCCAATGCTGTCGGCAGGACGGCAGCCCCCGTCCTGCAACCGTCGCACTGTGAGTAGCGCTGGCAACGGTGAGGGTGCCAGTGCCGTGGCTTAGCATGCTGGTGCATGCGCGCAACTATACCACCTCGCTACCCACTGGGTCAATGAGGGTGTTATAGCGCAGCGGATGCCCTTAGTAACACTAACCTATAGGCGCTGCTACTCTCGTTCCCCCCTGGTTCCAACCTCCCCGTTGGCTCTGAACTTCAGGAAGTCGCCCCGCGCAAGGACCTAGATTTCGCTGTGCTACTAGCAGCGATTTCGCTGGTTGCTCAGGCCAGCGGAGGATCTTTCGCTGGGTTCAAGTCTGGTAACCACATCGTACTTCTCGCCACAGGCGGAAAATGTGGACCACCCAGGATTTGGACGCTAGGTTCTGATTCCAGTATGACACCTCACCACCCGCTGGGTCAAAACGAGGGTGTTATATTGGCGCAGGGGATCGTTACACTAACTCCCCATTAGGGCACCCATTTTGGATCACCAGTGGCCCCATTCTTCGTCCCTATTGCCCTATACTCTCCTTCCCACTCAACTCTCCCAATCACCCCGTTTCCCCCCCGTGTGCGCAGTGCGCGTGCTGGTGCAGCTGCAGGAGGCGTGGGGGGGCGCGTGGGCGGGCAACAGCAACGCCACCACGGCGTGCTCTGCGTGGGCTGGCGTCACCTGCAGCCCCAAGGGTCTCGTCCTTGCCCTGTGAGTCACTCACGTACCGCCCTAAGGGTCTCGTCCTTGCCCTGTGAGTCACTCACGTACCGCCCTAAGGGTCTCGTCCTTGCCCTGTGAGTCACTCACGTATCGCCCTAAGGGTCTCGTCCTTGCCCTGTGAGTCACTCACGTATCGCCCTAAGGGTCTCGTCCTTGCCCTGTGAGTCACTCACGTATCGCCCTAAGGGTCTCGTCCTTGCCCTGTGAGTCACTCACGTATCGCCCTAAGGGTCTCGTCCTTGCCCTGTGAGTCACTCACGTATCGCCCTAAGGGTCTCGTCCTTGCCCTGTGAGTCACTCAGGTATCGCCCTAAGGGTCTCGTCCTTGCCCTGTGAGTCACTCACGTATCGCCCTAAGGGTCTCGTCCTTGCCCTGTGAGTCACTCACGTATCGCCCTAAGGGTCTCGTCCTTGCCCTGTGAGTCACTCACGTATCGCCCTAAGGGTCTCGTCCTTGCCCTGTGAGTCACTCACGTACCGCCCTAAGGGTCTCGTCCTTGCCCTGTGAGTCACTCACGTATCGCCCTAAGGGTCTCGTCCTTGCCCTGTGAGTCACTCACGTACCGCCCTAAGGGTCTCGTCCTTGCCCTGTGAGTCACTCACGTATCGCCCTAAGGGTCTCGTCCTTGCCCTGTGAGTCACTCACGTATCGCCCTAAGGGTCTCGTCCTTGCCCTGTGAGTCACTCACGTATCGCCCTAAGGGTCTCGTCCTTGCCCTGTGAGTCACTCACGTATCGCCCTAAGGGTCTCGTCCTTGCCCTGTGAGTCACTCACGTATCGCCCTAAGGGTCTCGTCCTTGCCCTGTGAGTCACTCACGTATCGCCCTAAGGGTCTCGTCCTTGCCCTGTGAGTCACTCACGTATCGCCCTAAGGGTCTCGTCCTTGCCCTGTGAGTCACTCACGTATCGCCCTAAGGGTCTCGTCCTTGCCCTGTGAGTCACTCACGTATCGCCCTAAGGGTCTCGTCCTTGCCCTGTGAGTCACTCACGTATCGCCCTAAGGGTCTCGTCCTTGCCCTGTGAGTCACTCACGTATCGCCCTAAGGGTCTCGTCCTTGCCCTGTGAGTCACTCACGTATCGCCCTAAGGGTCTCGTCCTTGCCCTGTGAGTCACTCACGTATCGCCCTAAGGGTCTCGTCCTTGCCCTGTGAGTCACTCACGTATCGCCCTAAGGGTCTCGTCCTTGCCCTGTGAGTCACTCACGTATCGCCCTAAGGGTCTCGTCCTTGCCCTGTGAGTCACTCACGTATCGCCCTAAGGGTCTCGTCCTTGCCCTGTGAGTCACTCACGTATCGCCCTAAGGGTCTCGTCCTTGCCCTGTGAGTCACTCACGTATCGCCCTAAGGGTCTCGTCCTTGCCCTGTGAGTCACTCACGTACCGCCCTAAGGGTCTCGTCCTTGCCCTGTGAGTCACTCACGTATCGCCCTAAGGGTCTCGTCCTTGCCCTGTGAGTCACTCACGTATCGCCCTAAGGGTCTCGTCCTTGCCCTGTGAGTCACTCACGTATCGCCCTAAGGGTCTCGTCCTTGCCCTGTGAGTCACTCACGTATCGCCCTAAGGGTCTCGTCCTTGCCCTGTGAGTCACTCACGTATCGCCCTAAGGGTCTCGTCCTTGCCCTGTGAGTCACTCACGTATCGCCCTAAGGGTCTCGTCCTTGCCCTGTGAGTCACTCACGTATCGCCCTAAGGGTCTCGTCCTTGCCCTGTGAGTCACTCACGTATCGCCCTAAGGGTCTCGTCCTTGCCCTGTGAGTCACTCACGTATCGCCCTAAGGGTCTCGTCCTTGCCCTGTGAGTCACTCACGTATCGCCCTAAGGGTCTCGTCCTTGCCCTGTGAGTCACTCACGTATCGCCCTAAGGGTCTCGTCCTTGCCCTGTGAGTCACTCACGTATCGCCCTAAGGGTCTCGTCCTTGCCCTGTGAGTCACTCACGTATCGCCCTAAGGGTCTCGTCCTTGCCCTGTGAGTCACTCACGTATCGCCCTAAGGGTCTCGTCCTTGCCCTGTGAGTCACTCACGTATCGCCCTAAGGGTCTCGTCCTTGCCCTGTGAGTCACTCACGTATCGCCCTAAGGGTCTCGTCCTTGCCCTGTGAGTCACTCACGTATCGCCCTAAGGGTCTCGTCCTTGCCCTGTGAGTCACTCACGTATCGCCCTAAGGGTCTCGTCCTTGCCCTGTGAGTCACTCACGTATCGCCCTAAGGGTCTCGTCCTTGCCCTGTGAGTCACTCACGTATCGCCCTAAGGGTCTCGTCCTTGCCCTGTGAGTCACTCACGTATCGCCCTAAGGGTCTCGTCCTTGCCCTGTGAGTCACTCACGTATCGCCCTAAGGGTCTCGTCCTTGCCCTGTGAGTCACTCACGTATCGCCCTAAGGGTCTCGTCCTTGCCCTGTGAGTCACTCACGTATCGCCCTAAGGGTCTCGTCCTTGCCCTGTGAGTCACTCACGTATCGCCCTAAGGGTCTCGTCCTTGCCCTGTGAGTCACTCACGTATCGCCCTAAGGGTCTCGTCCTTGCCCTGTGAGTCACTCACGTATCGCCCTAAGGGTCTCGTCCTTGCCCTGTGAGTCACTCACGTATCGCCCTAAGGGTCTCGTCCTTGCCCTGTGAGTCACTCACGTATCGCCCTAAGGGTCTCGTCCTTGCCCTGGGAGTCACTCACGTATCGCCCTAAGGGTCTCGTCCTTGCCCTGTGAGTCACTCACGTATCGCCCTAAGGGTCTCGTCCTTGCCCTGTGAGTCGCAACGGGGCCGTCCTTGCCCTGTGAGTCGTGCGCGAGCGGCCCGAAGGGGAAAATGTATGTGCAGTGTGCGTCACAGGATTAAACCCTCTGGGAGCACTGGATCTTGCCCAGCACTGAGCACCTCCTCCTTGAACCCGCACGTGTACTGAAGGCGTGGTTATTGAACGCGAAATCCAAACATCCAGTGCCTGGGGTCTGGAAACACGAAGGAGAACTACCGTTGGTTAGACAGCCGAGAAGCTGAATGATGTGATGTTCCTTTTCTTCAATGTGCACGTGGATGTGTATGCATGGCTGCACATGGATGTGTATGCATGGCTGCACGTGGATGTGTATGCATGGCTGCACATGGATGTGTATGCATGGCTGCACGTGGATGTGTATGCATGGCTGCACGTGGATGTGTATGCATGGCTGCACATGGATGTGTATGCATGGCTGCACGCGAATGTGTATGCATGGCTGCACGCGGATGTGTATGCATGGCTGCACGCGGATGTGTATGCATGGCTGCACATGGATGTGTATGCATGGCTGCACATGGATGTGTATGCATGGCTGCACATGGATGTGTATGCATGGCCGCACGTGGATGTGTATGCATGGCTGCACGCGGATGTGTATGCATGGCTGCACGTGGATGTGTATGCATGGCTGCACGCGGATGTGTATGCATGGCTGGACGCGGATGTGTATGCATGGCTGCACGCGGATGTGTATGCATGGCTGCACGCGGATGTGTATGCATGGCTGCACGCGGATATGTATGCATTGCTGCACGTGGATGTGTATGCGTGTGCATGTGTGTGTGTGTGTGTGTGTGTGTGTGTGTGTGTGTGTGTGTGTGTGTGTGTGTGTCGGCGCGCGCGCACATGTGTGTGCGTGCGCACATGAGAGTGTGCATGTCCGAGTGCCGGTGCATATGTGTGGCATGTGCGTGCGCCTGTGAGTGCATGTGCGTGTGTATGCATGCACGTGTGTGTGAGAGTGTACGTGTGTGAGTGTATGTGAGTGTATGTGTGTGTGTGTGTGTGTGTGTGTGTGTGAGTGCATGTGTGTGAGTGCATGTGTGTGAGTGCACGTGTGTGAGTGCACGTGTGTGAGTGTGTGTGTGTGTGAGTCCATGTGTGTGAGTGCACGTGTGTGAGTGCACGTGTGTGAGTGTGTGTGTGTGTGTGTGAGTGCATGTGTGTGAGTGCATGTGTTTGAGTGCACGTGTGTGAGTGCACGTGTGTGAGTGTGTGTGTGAGTGTGTGTGTGTGTGTGTGAGTGCACGTGTGTGTGTGCACGTGTGTGTGTGCACGTGTGTGTATGCATGCACGTGTGTGTATGCATGCACGTGTGTGTGTGCACGTATGCCCTGGCAGGGACTCCAACGCCTTTGCCATGGATCCTCCTCCCACCGGCGCCATTCCTGCTGCCATCACTGACCTCACCACCCTTCAATACCTGTCCGTCCCCGCTACCCTCTCCCTCCCTCTCCCTCTCCCTCTCATCCTGCCTGCCAAGGTTCAAAATTACGACCGAATTATTGATTTTTTACCGTATAATACGGAATCGTATTATACGACCGTAAAAAACGGCTTAAAACGGTGGATGTGTGTTTTTTTTGTTTGGTTCAAAAATACGGTCGTATTTTACGACCGAAATTTTGAATTCGGGTCTGTGTATATCGAAGTCTCAAATTTCCCACCCATGTTTCTCCCGAAGTCAAATTTCTCGCACACCCGTACAGACGAAAGTGACGTTTTGCCGAGTCGTGAATGTCACGACTTTCTCGAGTCGCGACATTTGGGCATTTGGCGAAGGCGAATGTTGAGTTTACCTGTTTCGCCAACTCTTTGGCATTACTCACCGAAGCGCAAAGTGTACAAATAATCTTGGCGCGACATTTCAACAGTTGGCGAACGGTAAACACAGGTTTACCCGTTTCGCTTTGCCCGTTTAGGATTTTCGCGCACCGCATTTCTTTTTCGCTGGCAATCGCGACACACCCAACCGACGCGATGCGAAACCAATCAACTTACCCCTCGTGATCTCAACCGTTTTCCACAACCCACTCGACACAGCACGCCCAGACTTCACAACGAGGTACTCAACTCACCCTTCACTCACCCCAACCGCCGCTCTCTCTTGTTAGAAGAAAAAAAGCATCAAAACAAGTCTCTTTAAAATACGCCGTAGTTTTGGAAATTTCACCGTATAAAACGAACGTATTATACGGACCGTATAATACGATTACCGTAATTTTGATCCTTGTTGCCTGCACCATGTTTTCCTTTCCCCTTGCTCCTCCCTTGTGCCCCTGTTCATCCTCACTCCCCTCTTCATGCAACCTGCCTCGTGACTCCGTCCTTGCCACACCATGTCCTTTTCCTCCCTCTTACACTCCCTCATTCTAATCATTCTACCTACTTGTTTCCAGCACCCCCCTTACCCCCTCCCTCGGGTTGGGTTCCCCTTGCTGACGAGAAAAGGCCCACTATTCAAAACGCCCTTAACTTAACCACAACAGTGCCACCTCCTCCCCTCTCCTCCCCCCCCCCCCCCCCCCCCCCTCCCCCCCCCACCCCCCCCTCGTCCCCCCCCAATTCTCCCTCTCTGTTTGTCTCCCTGCAGCGATCTGACGTACGGCATTAACCTGGAGGGCCCCATGCCATCCCTTGCATCTCTCACCCGCCTTACCCACCTGTACGTCTCACACCCTCCTCTCCTCTCCCATCACCAGTAACACACCTCCCATTCCCACACATCCCCTCACCGCCCCTCCTGCTCTCTCGCAGTGACTACATGTGACCTCTGATCCGTGATGCTCTTCTGGCCTGTCCTTCCTTGTATGCCCCCCCTTTTCACTCAATCAATCGAGCTTGCTGTTGCCCCCTGCACATGCCCCATCCCTCTGTATGTGCCGCATGCCCCATCCCCCTGCATGTGCCCCTCCCCCCTGCATGTGCCCCATCCCTGTGCCTGTGTGCATCGCTCCCTGCAGCGCCCTGGGAGCAGACGGCTGCTTGCTCACCGGCACTGTGGACCAACTCTCGTGGCTCTCCTCCCTCTCCGCCCTGCACTTATTGTAAGCCCTGCCTCTCCAGTAGGCATGAACATGTTCGTGTTCGTCTAATGTTCAGAGCGTTTTTGGGAAGAAACCAGGGAAAAAACTCAACTTCACACACCATACCATCTATCCTTGCTGAAACCGACGCCCATACCATAACTAGAAGCCCAGTTCGCCCATCCCACGGCTGTTGAGAAGTTGAGAAGATAGGGGTGAACATAGGGGTGTTCGCCCCTAGAGGCGAACAGGCGAACACCATTTTCTCAGAAAGTGTTCGCTGCGAACCAAACACTGTTCGGTTCGCCCAGGTGACATGTTCGCCCTGGGCGAACACGAACATGTTCGTGTTCGCCTCTTGCTCAAGCCTACTCTCCAGTTTCTTCCTCCATGCCTACCCTGCCCAGTGGGAGGCGAATAAGCATATGGGCTCAATGTCTTGGGGAGTATGTATGAGGAGGACACTTGATGAAGGCTTCTCAAAGGCTTCTCAACAACCTTCTGTTCATCCCTCTCTTGCTCGATCCTCAAAACTGCTGCGGCACAACTCTTTTCCAGCATGGTTTTCTCGAAGGCTCGGATTCAGTTTCCAATGGCATCGGCAGCACCACCATTATCAAAGCTCGTCACATAAAACAATGAAATTCACCCGTGTGGGCATGAGAACGGGCCAGCCTCCTCAACCGAGGCCGGCTGGGCTCCGCTAGAGGGTGGTTCAGGCCGGTGTTTGTGGAAAATCTGCCACACGAGCTGCCCCGGCGGGCTGGTTCTGGCTCGAGCAGCCACGACCTGGCGCATGGAGCAGTCCTGGGAACTCCAAAGTGCTGCCAGTCCACGTCAGTTGGTGAGCCAGTAGTATCAAAACGACTGCCTCGCTGAAATGATTGGCTGAAGGGGATTCGAGGAAACTCGGTCGCGTTGTCAAGTATCAGAGTCTTGATCTACTCGAAGCAAAGGCAATTAAAGAATGTAGTCGCTATTCCTGGGCTAGGTTATGCTTCCCCAGGGAGGAAGGGGGGAGACATGGGCCGAGGATGGTGGGGAAGAGGGGAGGAGGTGAGTTGCTGGGGGTGCTTGTGTTGACGCAAAAAGAATGCTCACCTCGACTAAAAATTCTCGCCTGAAATGGAGAGTAGCGAGGCGATCTCTGCTTACTGAACGCCTTGCAGCAGCAACTATCCAGGAGTTCCGCGGCAGCTACCTTCCCTCTTACAGTTACGGCTCACGGTGCTGCATGCTCTGTTGTGTTTCTAGCTCTCTCACCGTCCGCCACCTCCTCCCGTCTGTCACGTCCCACTGCCTCACCTCACCTCACCTCACCTCACCTCACCTCACCTCACCTCACCTCACCTCACCTCACCGCCACCACCAGGCGGCTGTCTGGGTTGTCGGAATTCACAGGGGAGCTGACCTCCTTTGCACTGCTCTCCCACCTCCACCACCTCCAACACCTGTGAGTCTACTTTCAGAGCACCCACCCAGAAGTCACTCTTGTTTCGAGGAGCCTAAAAAATGGTCTGCTCTGAGAGCACTGCTCTGAGAGCACCCAGAAGTGGCTCCCTTGACACTCAAAGTGCTGTCACATCACAAATGTTTTCTTTCCAAAGGTTCCTTGTTATTTATCTGTCACCATCGGACCCGGCTGTCAGGTGACAAGTTCACCTACTGACTTTGCCATGTGCTGTTTGCATACATGCGCACGGCTTGCAGATCACTCATTGGTCTCAGCAATGTGACAGGGGAGATACCCCGGGAGATTCGATACTTGACTGCCCTCACTACACTGTAAGCTGAACACAACACATGCGCATATGCGTGCGATCGGCTCTGCACCGAGATAGGTGTTCTGCTGCAAATTCTTGCTCGTCTTAGGCCGGCCAATCCAGCTCGTGCGCACACACCACCAGCACACTTCAAGGACCCTCTTCCCTTCTCATGCTCCCTCGCCGCCCTCCCTGCAGGGACCTCATATTTCTTCGAGCTGTGGACTTCCCAGACTGGGTCACTCAGATGTCCAAACTCCAGTCACTGTGAGAGTGCTCCTAGCTTTCTCATGTGCGCCTGTTCTCCCGCTCTGTTATTACCTTATTCTCCCCATCTCCTATTCCTGTACATTGCCCCACAACAATTGAGCTGCTAACAACCCACTCAATCAGTCAAACCGCGCCACAGCGTGATGTGCACTGTGTGCTAAACAGCCCTTTCTGCCACAGCCCTTTCTGCCATGTCGCTGAACAGCCCTTCCTGCTCTGCGCTTGTGAGGAGGCATGTGAGAACATCGAGCAAAGGAGTTGACTTGCACGTCAACTTAAAAACCACGCCGCACCTCCTCTACGACTTTTGAGGCGCCTCAAAAGCATGTCAACTTAAAAACCACGCCGCACCTCTACGCGCACCTTTTGCAGAATCGCCCCTCCTATTCCCTTCTGCCTGCCCCTGCCTGTGAGCAGGCGAGTGATCAACGACGAGCCAAGGAGGCAGGGAGTGCTGCCAGAAGGCCTTTCAGAGTTGACAGCACTCACTCAACTGTGAGTGCGCATAGCACAGCGCAGCACACCACAGAACAGCCTCACGTACCTCGTTGCACAGCCTCACAACCCCATCGCACAGCCCAATGCCACATTGGTGTACATGCATGCATCCGTTACCTTGCCCCCCCCCCTCCCCCCCCCCCTTCCTGCCATGCACTGCACACTGCAGGTCCCTCTTGGGGAACAACCTGGAAGGCGCCCTGCCCAAAGGCTTCTCCACACTTGCCAACCTGGCTGTCCTGTAAGCGAGGCACTTCCTGACCAGCCTGCCCTGTGTGGGACAGTTGACCATCAGGCTGACGTGTGAGTAGGGATGAGCAAGTGGCGAACACGCCCTACACGAACACCTTCGTTTGCCGAACCAAACACTGTTTGGTTCGGCGAACACTTTGAGCAAAAAATGGTGTTCGCCGTTCGCCTGTGAAGGCGTGTTCGGGCGAACCTCGAACAGTGTTCGTGTTCGTCGCGGGCAAATTGCAGCAGCGGCCCGAACACGAACGTGTTCGGGCGAACATCGAACACTGTTCGGCGAACATTTTAAGCCAAAAAAAAAATACCTGTTCGGTTCGCCTCGAACGTGTTCGAGGCGAACCGAACAGGTGTTCGTTTTTTTGCTCAACCCTACGTGTGAGACAGCAAAGCGCCAACTAGAGTCTATACTCTCTTTTTTACAAGTGTTATTGCAAACGGTCTATTCCTGCCTGTGTTTCTGTGTCTTGCAAAGCAATCTTTTCTCCTGCATGTCACTTCAATCGCAGGGATCTGAGCTTGAACCATCTGCAAGGCACCATACCCGAAGCATACTCTGCGTTGTCAGCCCTTGCTGAACTGTACGTGTCCTATCCTGGTGATACGCGTTTCTCTCGTTAACCCCCTCTGCAACCCACCCGATCCCCAGAACCCCACCTCCCCTTTCTCTCCTCTTTCCGGCTTCCCCTCCCTGAGTAACCAACCAGTCCTGCGTCTCTTTGCTGGAAGAAACCGCCTTCCAATATGACATGCTTGTGCTTTGTTTGTGATTTGCTTGTGCTTTGCTTGTGCTTTGCTTGTGCTTTGCTTGTGCTTTGCTTGTGCTTTGCTTGTGCTTTGCTTGTGATTTGCTTGTGCTTTGCTTGTGCTTTGCTCTTGCTTTGCTCGTGCTTTGCTCGTGCTTTGCTCGTGGCACTGCCCTCTTATCTGCAGGGACCTCTCATCAAATTACCTTTCCGGATTGGTGCCTCGAATCTTCAACAGCAACATCCAGTCTATGTATGCCTGTCTCCCTCCTCCACTACTCTCACACACTCTCTCTTGTCCACTTTCTTGCCTGCCTTTCTTCACTCTCTTTTACATTCTTACTCTGTCTATGTCTCTCCTCCGTCCCTCTATTGACCCTCCTCCCTTTTGCTCCGCTGACACCCCTCCCCTCCCCCCCCCCCCCCCCCACCTCCCCCCTCTCCCCTCTCTCGCCGCTCCCTGTTAAAACCGTTTTCTCCTTATTTTTGGTTCGGTACGTATTGTCCTTCAAATCCGCTGGAGGCTTAGTCGTCTAGTGTATTCAATGAGTCATATGTATCCGTTTACATTATAATGGTGTAGACATTAGGGGTTTGGTTTTATTAGTTATAGGGTGCTCTCCTAGTGATTTTATCAAGATCTAGGCACCCCAAATTCGGCTTTGGGGCACCTCGGCACGTTTTGCTTGGGGGCGCGGCTCCAGCCTCGACCCACGAATTTCAACATTGGAAACGCAGCTCCAGCTTGGAATTCGCGTTTCCAATTCGTGGAATCGCGGTTCCACTGGAGGGGGAGCTTCCAGGCCCACTGTGAGGGTCCCTCACGTCCCCATCTTGACTGTGGGCGACTTGAGCACCCATTTGGCCACCCCAAGCCCTTGGGCACCAATTTGTTTCACTCGTACCAGCCAAGTTGCCTCCAAGCTAGCTCTCTTCGCTCTCTGCGTAATATGTTCTGCTTGTATCCAAAACCTCAATTTTCGTAATGCTTCCAGAACCATTCAGCATTTCTGAAACAGCTTCGCCTTGTGCACATAGGTCTGTTTCTCTACACAAGGAAGGAAGGAAGCTCACTTAGAGTCGCTCTTGACCCATCTACACTCCACGTGCCTTGCCTGCCTCAGAATGCTCAGCTACAACAGCTTTTCCGGACCCATTCCGCCGCATCTCGCACTGCCTAGCTTGGTCTTGCTGTGAGTCCCACCTCCCGCCCAGCCCACCATGCAATGGCAGGCATGCACCTCCTTCCCTCCCTCCATGCTTCTCGCCAGTATCCCTTGCATTTGTATCTGTATTTCCAACCCTCCCTTCCTAATTGTAGTTTGAATTTGTAACGGTCTCCTGATGGCTGTCAAGCTGAGCCTTGTATTCTCCGATAGATGTGCGTGCATTGGCCTCCCATCATCTTCCCCTCTTCCGCCCCTCTTCCTTTCCTCTTCCTCCCCTCTTCCTCCCCTCTTCCAACCCTCTTCCTCCCCTCTTAATCCCCACTTCCTCCTCTCTTCCTCCCCTCTTCCTCACCTCTTCCTCCCCTCTTCCTCCCCTCTTCCTTCCCTCTTCCTGGCTGCAGGGAGTTGTTCAGCAATCGGTTCACAGGAGGCGTTCCCCACACCTTCACCAGACTCACCGCCATTGCATCCCTGTATACACGGATAGTTCTCACTTAAATGCCATCTACACTTTGCCTTCTTGCCATCCCACTGTGCTGAGCTGTCTGAAGCCCAAGCCAACACGAAAAAACACAAAAGGCGCATCTTAAGTCATCTGCAGCTTTGCTTTCTTACCATGGCACTCTGCTGTGCTGCTGCCTGTAGCCCAAGCCTGAAGGCATGCTCATCGAAACCGCTAAGCATGTACGTTGCTCTGCTCTCACTTACTGTCCACGGCCAACCCTACATTTGTCTACCACAGCCGTTGTTCGTACTAATTCCCTTCTGCCGTGCGCTCGTGCACACAAATCCCACAGGATCGTGTCCAACAACAGCCTCAGCTCAGGCCTGGACGTGGTGGCTCAGATGACATGGCTCACAGACATGTGAGCACAGTCACTTGCTCACTATTCACCGCCTGCCTGCCTTCACGTTCCTCCCCCTTCCCTCCCTCCCTGCTTAGCTGCTGTGGCTCTCCTTCATGTGTCGGCCTCTGTTCAAGTCCAACTGACCCCGTTCAATCCAATCCGCGCAGAGACCTCCATACAAACATCTTCTCCGGTGTGCTACCCGTGTCCTTTGCTGCTATCAAGGGCCTCACATCCATGTGAGTCATGTTCGGATTGTATTGCTGCGTAGCGCTTCCTTTCTTCCTGTCTGGTATACCAACGGTACATGACTGAGTATGTGTCCAGAATTCGGCATCACTTTGGAAGTTCTGTTCTAGTCAAGAAGATTGGATTACAAATAGGGAGGTATGAAGAGATTGTCCATCCATGGCAATGGCAATAGCATGCATGGATGCTCACCTGCAGGTACGATTCTGTGTATCTCATGGCTTACGAAGGCGGTGGAGATGAGTGTTTCTTCTTTCCCATGTGTGATGGGTTGCATTCGTACATGCATTCGCTCCACTTAAAGGTGGGTGCATGCGTCCATGAGTGCATACATACATACCTACGTTTTGAGAAAGCTTATGCAAGTGTGTCGCCATTTGTATGTGCATTCGCCCATCGTTTGATTCAACTCCCCCACGCCCTTCAGAAGCATCCAGAACAACCACTTCACAGGATCCTTCCCCGAGCTACTTCTGAGCAACACAGGCCTCGAAGTTCTGTAAGAGGAGCACCTGACCCGAGGAGGCTGTCAAGAGCTCCTTCAGATCACCAAAGCACGTACACAGAGAAGCAGTGTTGCTTCCGAAGCCACCGGCAGTTTCTGTGGATGTAAAACTCGTCCTTCCCAAAGGCTATGCCTCTCCCAAAGGCATCTGATGAGTATACTTAATTTTTGAGGCGCCTCAGAACTCGTCTGAGGATGGGCTGCCATTGTCGCCGCTTCCTGTGGCCATGGTACTTGCTGCAGGAATTTGAGCAACAACAGTTTTACCGGGTTTATCCCCAACCGACTCACAGAGCTTGTCAGCCTGGGAGATATGTGAGTCGCACCCCTGCTTGCCTCTTGCCTGCAGCCTGCAGCCAAAGCACACACACATGCAGCCGTGGGAGTGCGAATTTTGAGTCGACTCAAAAGTCACCTCGAAGTTGTGTCACCTGCCGGCTGCACCCAAAGCGCACACACACACACACACACACACACACACACGCACGCACGCACGCACGCACGCACGCACGCACGCTCACACACACACACACACACACACACAGCCATGGAAGTGCCATGGCATGAGTGCGAGAAAGGGTCGGAACGGGATGAATGAGGCTGTGTAATCACACAGGAGGCGACCATGTTGTATGGGGACGAGTCTGAAGCAATTTCATCAAACACAACTAGCAGCTCATGTTCATCTGTCGCCTCCTTCTCGCCCTTGAGGTTGCTGCTGTCAGTAATCTGAGTGACAACATGTTCCGGGGAGTTATCCCACCTGGCCTCTTCCACCTCCCCTTGCTCAACTCACTGTGAGCGCCCCTATTGCCTTGCCTTCAACACACCCTGTTGCATCTAATTTTCTCGCTTGCCTCATTCATTCTTCTTTCTTGCTTGCCTTTAGCTCCATGCCGTAACAAATCTGCGGCCCCAGCCTGCATTTTCAGGCTTCCTATGCATGCTATTTGCAGGCGATTTCTGGCTTTAATTACCGTGCTAGCCCCCCTTCTCCCCCACACCTCACCCCTCTGCTGCAGGCAAGTGGCCAACAACTTCCTCTCGGGAGGCCTTCCAACGTCTCTCAAGGCTTCCAACTCCCTGAAAACACTGTGTGTGGCACCAGCTCTGTCTCACGTCGCTTGTCAGTATGCTCAAGTGATGTTCCTGGATCTTACATCTCCGCTGCTGCTTACTATGCTGCCTTGTTGTGCCGTCTGCCCCCTGCCCACCGTGCAGTAACCTGGCAGGAAACGGCTTCACTGGTCATTTACCTGACTTCTCTCTCTGGCATGTCAACCTCGAACGCCTGTGCGTCTCTCTCTCTCCTCTCTCGTTCTCTCTCAAGTGATCGCGTCCAGGACCAGGTGACACACGTTGCTGAGCGGAACGTGGCGCCGAGCTGTTGAGGTGTTCCTTGGTGGTGCAGTACAGTCGTCTGGTCCACATAGACAAAAGTTACGTGTGCAGTCGATGTACGCGTATGCCAATCCGAGCATGGGCGGGAAGGTTGTTGTCACAGCTTGGTATGCCAAGTGGAGCATGGACGGGAAGGTTGTTGTCACAGCTTGGTATGCCAAGTGGAGCATGGACGGGAAGGTTGTTGTTACAGCTTGGTATGCCAAGTGGAGCATGGACGGGAAGGTTGTTGTCACAGCTTGGTATGCCAAGTGGAGCATGGACGGGAAGGTTGTTGTCACAGCTTGGTATGCCAAGTGGAGCATGGACGGGAAGGTTGTTGTCACAGTTTTGAAAGCTCAGAGAGACTTCTTGGCGGTCTCAGTCTCTCCTCTCACAGAGCAAAGGCGGGCGAAGGCAAAGGTGCTCCTCCAGCCATGGCTTGCCGTGGGAGGTCATTGCTTCGATGCTGGCATCCCATTCGCTCTTTCGAGATTCTTACAGGCATTGTGTCACCGCCTTACAGTGAGGTCATTCTGGTGAGAGCCAATGTGTACGGCGGGGGATAAAGAGGAGCAGATCCCATCCTGTTGCGGAATCCGAGTGCTTTGCCAGGCAGGCATCCTCTCGGGGTCTCAGGGCACCGTGGCATGTGGCGGGTGAAGTGCTGGTGTGACTTTTCTGGGAAGCTAAGGTTGAGGGCTGCTGCAGAGGAGCGGCGAACTGTTTGTCCCAGATTGCCAGCCTGGCAATGCAGCTTTTACTGTCACGGACCAGCTTCTCTGGTGACCATTGGCACAGCCTTTTGTTGGGGTTACGGGGTCCTGTGTTACCGTCTACATTCCCAATTTCTGTCTTACTTCGTCAACCTACCATACAAGATGCGCCTTGAATAGGGGTTTTTGAGAAATAGTATCATCTTCGCTGCTGAGCTCCCCTCTTTCAGGCTCTCAGATGCAAATTCGTTGTCTCCCTTCCTTTTCTTTTCACATTCTGGCTGTTGTACGCCCATTCACATCTACTAAACCTTGTTAGTATCACCCCTAACTCTGTATCCATGCCCCATGCTGTCTGTTATGTGTGGGTGGTGGTGGGCAGGGCCCTCAACCACAACAACTTCACAGGGTCCATTCCTGACTCCATCTCCACCCTCACCTCTCTCAATGGCATGTGAGCTACCCCTGCTGGCACCCACTCATCCAATCCAATCCAACTGCACTGCATGTGTAATAATACCTTGTACCTGATCTCTATCCTTCGCCTCCTTGTAACCTGTGGTACAGTTAGGTAGCATGCTGGCATTCTTCACTCCATAGCATCTACTCACCTCGCCTGTGCTCCCGTTCCTATGGCATCGCATCTCACCTATGCATGCAGCATCCTCAACAACAACCACCTGAACGGCTCCATTCCATCGGCCATCTTCAGCATGACGAATCTAGCTTCCCTGTGAGCTAAACTCAACTCAAGTGCCCTCTTCAGAGCTCGTTGCCTCCTCTGCATCGAGTGTCCACTTCTCGTCTGCTCGCTCACGGCTCTCCCTCATTCCACGTTTTTCCACCAGCCAGCTATTCTCGCCTTCCATGCATGTCAACGATCTGTGTCATCACCATCCTTCCTGCATGTCATCACCCTGCAGCTATCTCGCCAACAACCGTCTGAGTGGCAGACTGCCCTCTGACATCAGTCGCCTGGAGAAGCTCGAGCAGCTGTGAGCGCCCTTGCTGCCTGAAGCTGAATTTTTTTCCTTTCCTCACGAGACCTGGGCTCAGCATGGAGAAGAAGGGTGTGGCACAACCTTGGAAAAACTCTAGCACACCGTATGAGCTGTAAAAGTCGCCACGGTCATGGCAAAGAATAATGCCACCCACCCATGCCGTGCGGTTGTGCGGTACTTGTAATTTTTGGCCCGAGCGGTGGCCTTGGCTGGCAAACTGACACTATGGGGCGTTGAGGCGAGATTGGGCTGGTTACGTAGGGCGTGATGGTTGCTGGTCCTGCAGCGGATGAGGTGGTTTTGTAAAAGGGAGCATGCAACTGTTGCTGGTCCTGCAGCGTCCGGGACGAGCTGTGGCAGGCCCAGCGGCAGTCAGAATGGCACAGCGGGTGCAATTTGTGGTGGAGACAGATGGAGAAGAGTGTTGGGTAAGGGAAGATTAGTGAGCACATTCACGCGTGCCCGGTCCAATTGGAATAGGAGGCAGAGTGTGTGGCCGAGCAAGGAGTAACAACTGGCCCGTTTTCTTCCGGAGCTGCATGGCAGTAGACCACACGCTCTCAGCTCCCTGACTGTTGGATTAGCAGCCGAGAGTGGCGGTCGTACGAGAAGGCTGCAAATGGGATCAGCAAGTCCGTGTGGCTGCACCAGATCGTGAACAGCATGGTGGCACTTCATGCTGGCGGAGGCCGTAACACAACCGGCCTCTCTTTCGAGTGCGTTAAAGGCCCATCGCTCCTCTGGGCCATTGGTCGGACCCCTCCCTGGGGTTTCGTGAAGCAGAGGAGTAAAGACGCCGTCAATAATTCCGTGCGATGGGAATTGAGTTTGCCAGCGAGTGCGGTGTTCACAAGAGCTAACAGGTCCACTCCAACGTCTGGGTGCATGAGGCGGCATCATGTAGGTATTCGAAAGCCATGCCGCTCGTACCCGTACCACCAACTCCGTTCTGCAACTGGCTAGGAGGTGGCAGAGGTTCCGGCGGGTAATGGCTGGGTACCTAGGGAGCTAGTGGGTCTGGATCCACTTTAGGGTGGATGTGGTGGTACTGGGGAGGCGAGAATGCAGGGCGGGGTTCTGGTAAATTAAGGAACAACATTGAGGCTGCTGTAGGCGTTGTTGGAGACCACCAGCGGGCTATCAAGTGCTTGTGGACTCGGGGCTGGGGGAGGTCGCCCTTCTGAGCGCATGGCGAGCGCATGGCGAGCGCATGGCGAGCGCATGGCGAGCGCATGGCGAGCTCATGGCGAGCTCATGGCGAACGCATGGCGAGCGCATGGCGAGCTCATGGCGAGCTCATGGCGAGCGCATGGCGAGCTCATGGCGAGCTCATGGTGAACCCGTCCCATTGGAGGCTGTCGCTGTCACCTGCACTGTGGGCCGAGCTGAGCCATCAAGCGGCGCAGCGCAGCACGTGGAGCCTCTACGACGTGAGTCCCACCCACCGCGGCTCCCTCCCTTCCCTTCGACCAGGTTCGCCGCGGCCGTGGGAGTCTCCTCCAGTATGGCGGACTTGGGGAGGGCAGACAGAGTCACGGTGGCCAGCATGAGTTGCCGCAGCAGCAAGGGCGGAGGCGGCCAGAGTCTGATCCGATGGCGACAGCAGGCACGGCCTCTGCGTGTGCGGAGATTCCAGCCACGATCCGGACAATGCCACGGCACCAAGCGGCCAGGCTGCGTGAGCATGCGGGGCAGATTCATGTGCGAAGTCCTCCGCCCCTTGATCTGTTGGCATGCCCTCCTGCGGTGGCACCACCGCCTCAGCGTCGGTTGGACCCCCTCCGCAGCGACCTCCGCAGGCGGCTGCGGTGATGTGGTGCACTGCTCCAGGTGTGGGCCCACCGGCTTTCATGCTGCCTGCCAAGATTGGAGCGAATGCCTCCCGCAGCAAGTGAGGCCAGCCAGCCATGCCCGGTTATGAATCTGCCACCGCAGCCCCAGCCCCTGTCTCCACCCCAGCTGGCACCCGTCCAGCTAGAGGATCATGAGGCGCCTGGCCGGCGGGGGGCAGCCGCAACGGGGATGGCGGAGGAGGCATCAACGGAGGTTTCCCCCTATCGCCGCCGGCCTGCTTGCCGCCGGTTAGGTGGTATCCACTTGAGCTTCTGCCTGGCTAGTTGTTGAGAGCAGCTCAGCAGTGGCCGAGGCGGGTGACCTTCCCGTTCCCCTCTGCCACCCGCGGGTGTATGTGGAGGTAGTCGTGAGTCGAGACCACGGGGTATGTTGGAGAATGCCTACACATTGGTGGGCAACTGTCCTGCAGAGTGCCGCCACGCTGTTTGCGACTCGGTACATCATCATGAGTTGGAAGGGGAGGCGAGGTGGTCTCAGAACGAGCTGGGGTTGGGTGAGGAGGTGGAGGAGGTGATGGTACTTGAGTTGGGCACATGGGCTGTTTGGCTCGTTCACGTTCAGCTGTAAACGTGGTCGACGGCTGCATGTCAGCAGTCTGTCTTGATCAAACCATGGTGCAGTTGTTGGAAAGGACAAGCGTGATGGGATGCTGTAGTCGGTAGCTGGCAGCAGCGGTAGCAAGGTGCTTGCAGTAGGCCCTCTATGATTTCTCCCTGGGATATCTCTCGTGTGAGCTTGTGTTGTCTCCGTTGCTAATGTTGTTTGTGGTAGCCTCAGCATTGCCTTCAGCCGACAGCACAAGCCGTCGATTGCAAAACCAAGACCACAACTCCACAAGGTCACTCATTAGGACTTCTCTCGCTCTCGATCTCTTATGTGTCTGTGTCTGTGCCTGTGTCTGTTCTCCCTCTTTGTGCCTCTTACGATTCTCCAATTTCTATTCCGTCTCTGTCCACCCCGCCTTCTCTCTGCAGCTGGCTGGACAACAACAACATCGAGGGCACTCTGCCACCCGCCATCTGCTCGCTACCCGAGCTATGGCGCATGTGAGTGGCTATGGCGCATGTGAGTGGCTATGGCGCATGTGAGTGGCTATGGTGCATGTGAGTGGCTGTGACGCATGTGAGTGGCTGTGACTCATGTGAGTGGCTATGGCGCATGTGAGTGGCTGTGGTGCATGTGAGTGGCTGTGGCGCATGTGAGTGGCTATGGCGCATGTGAGTGGCTGTGGCGCATGTGAGTGGCTGTGACGCATGTGAGTGGCTATGGTGCATGTGAGTGGTTATGGCGCATGTGAGTGGCTGTGGCGCATGTGAGTGGCTGTGGCGCATGTGAGTGGCTGTGGCGCATGTGAGTGGCTATGGCGCATGTGAGTGGCTATGGCACATGTGAGTGGCTGTGGCGCATGTGAGTGGCTGTGGCGCATGTGAGTGGCTGTGACGCATGTGAATGGCTGTGGCGCATGTGAGTGGCTATGGCGCATGTGAGTGGCTATGGCGCATGTGAGTGGTTATGGCGCATGTGAGTGGCTGTGGCGCATGTGAGTGGCTATGGCGCATGTGAGTGGTTATGGCGCACGTGAGTGGCTGTGACGCATGTGAGTGGCTGTGACGCATGTGAGTGGCTATGGCCATGTGAGTGGCTATGGTGCATGTGAGTGGTTATGGCGCATGTGAGTGGCTGTGGCGCATGTGAGTGGCTGTGACGCATGTGAGTGGCTGTGGCGCATGTGAGTGGCTGTGGGGCATCGCATGGCACATAGTGTTTCAAAATCTCCTCCTCCTTTCACTGTAGGTTTGCACGTGAAAGCCGAAGGTGAAGCTCTTGAATGTTTGACAGTAAAAGGTGCACCCCCTCTGAATCGTTGGCTACGTGCGTTTATAAGCATTGGCCAGACAAGAGAATGGTGCCACATGTTTCACTTGCTCATGTGCCCCAATCAGAGCACTAGGTAGGGTGCAGGATCAATTTTTGCACAGCATATTTACCAGCAAGTTAAACATTGGGAAAACAACTGTTACCAACAGTGATGACCTCGTGTCCTTAACGGTAAGTGTGGTGAAAATGGAAAAACGGTGTTGACCACTCAGCACGAGAAGCGAGAAAAGGGCCGGCCCACCAAGACTAGAGTCCACCTGCCAAGTCAATTCTATGTGACACATGCTATGTATGTGTGATAGAATGTAGCGCTAATTTGCTACACAAGGGTTGTCCTTGCATGGTTGTGAGTCACGCAGCATGTAATCTACTGCAGTAGAGTGAACAAGGAGTGGCAAATATCACACAACGATCAAGGCAAGTTGTATCACACCACACATAAACTCATGGGGAGGGAGGTGGGGAAGTGTTGTGTTGAATTTAGTCTTTCGTGTGTGCAGTTGAAGCTAGCGAGTGTCTGTTGCTCGTGCTGTTACATTTAGAGCTTACATTAGTGAGGTACAGCTGCATTGTGTGCCGTGTGCTATGTTCTGTGTGCTGTGTGCTGTGTGCTCTGTGCTCTGTGGTGGCAGCATGATGAGCAACAACTACCTCTATGGGCCCCTGCCAGACTGCATCTTCAACAAGTGTGTCAATCAAATGTGAGACAATCAATCTGTGCACTCTTGCCTGAGGTTCAAGCACGGTGTTCCTACTCCCTCGTGCGCTTATGCAGCTCAGGTGTATGCAAGCAGCTGACGTGTGGGCATGCTCTTTTGATGGTCGGTGAATTAAAGGGCATTGGCAGTTGCTCACTCTGAAATGGGAGTGAGTGCATCTGTTGATCCTTCCCCTGCTCCCTGTGCTCCTCGCAGCGATGTGAGCAGCAACAGCCTGTACAGGCGCACCTTTTGACCCTTCCCCTCTTCCCCTGTCTTCTCGTTCTCCTGGCCTTGTCCAACCCCTACTCCCCCCAGCGATGTGAGCGGCAACAGCCTGTACGGGCGCATCAACCGCAACTTCAGGAGCATGGTGGCGGATGGTGATGCGCTCATCAACTTGGCTCACAACTTCTTCTTCGGTGATGCCGTGCTCCTCGCTGCCGGCTGCCAGGTCTGCCCCATCCACATCAGCAAGCCCAACAACCTCGTCCTGGGAGACACGGGCGTAGGCGCTGTTGGGAAATGTGCCACCAGCTTCACTGCCATACGAGATTACTCGGTGGCCGGGGCGGGCAAGGGTGCGAGGGTGAGTGTGGCGGGCAACTGCCTGACGCTCATCCCGGACGCGGAGTGCGCAGCCAACGCCACCCAGCGCAGCACGGCAGCCTGCCAGGCGTTCTGCAGCATCACGGACAACGGCCCGTGTGACGGCCATGGGGAGTGCGTGCCGCCTGCCCCCGCCTCCCCCTCCAACTTCACCTGCCTCTGCCACGCCGGCTACTCGCCTCTCGACTCGGGCAACGGCTCCACCTGCGCTGTGGTCAACTCTACCACCACCACTGGTGAGCTTACTTGCATTTGCTGTTTCCTCCCCCACCTACTGGAAAGGTTGAAAATGTCGTTAGCCGGAGTTTTCGCTTCCAAGCTTTCTCTCGAAAGTCTCGCTGTTTTTTTTCTGAATATTTTGGCGACTGTAGTCTCGAGTGAGAAGCTTGATTAAGTGATTCATACTGTGAAAATTGTAAATTAATCTCCACGGATGTCTGTTTTTCCCTCGATCGTTGTTCCACGAAATTGCAAATACTAGGCTGCGGCTAGATTCACATTTCGCAACAAGCACTACCTCATTCAATCCTCTTGTTTTTGTTTTTTTTCTTTTTTCTTCGTAACCACCTCTCGGCAGTGTCCTCGCTCTCCACGGGCGCCATAGTGGGCATCGCTGTGGGCTGCTTCGCTGGCTTCGTTCTTTTGGCGGCTGTCCTCACATGCGTGCTGTGGCCCCGCGGACCAAGTGAGTCCCCCAACCTCGCACTCCTCTTCCACTACTGCATCCCTGCCTCCATTCTTCCGCTCCTATCTCCCCCATCACTGCGCACTCGCCCCATACTTCATCGTGTGTGTGTCGTGTGTATACATGCAGGGAAGTGGGAGGGGCTGGAAGTGTGTGAGCAGTACACGCTACACCAGATGGTGAAGGCCACGGACAACTGGGCCAAGGAGAACGAGGTGGGAAGGGGCGGATTTGGCGTGGTGTACAAGGGGCACTCGCCACAGGGGCAGCTGTGGGCCATCAAGCGCTCCACTGTGATGACCAACAACTTTGAGAGAGAGGTGAGGCCGAGCAGCTGCAACATGCACTGCTGGTGCGACATCCTTGCACACAGCAAGGAGCGAATCCACCCCTAGCAGCATACCTGCAGGTTAATTGGGCATATTCACGACTTAAACCTCTCCTCTTTCGCCCTCTGAATTCATCACCTGCAGGCTGACTGGGCATATTCAGGATCTGGTCCTATCTCTCCCCTTTCGCACTCTGAATGCATCTCCTGCAGGTGCGGGCCATGGCGACACTCAACCATGTGAATCTGGTGCGTCTGCTGGGCTTCTGTGTGGATCAGAATGTGGAGACGGGCAACCAGGAGCAGATCTTGGTTTATGAGTTCGTCGCTAACAGAGACTTGCAGTACCACATTTTCAAGACCAAGAGTGAGTTTTATTTTCTGTGCATAAACCATGAGTTACATGGTTTCTCAAAGTTGGCAGGAGAGAATAGCACACAAGCACACAAACACGCACCCTCACACTCACTCACTCACACATACACACACCACAACTCATGGTCTGAAGCATCTCTCCATGCATCTCTGAACTCTCTCTTTGCACGTCCTTCTATGCTCTCTCTTCCAGACCCTCTTTCGCTGCGGCAGCGACTGCGCCTGGCGCAAGGAGCTGCAGAGGGGCTGGCATACCTGCATGGGTTTGAAACGCCCATCATTCATCGCGACATCAAGCCCGCCAACATCCTCGTGACGGCCGACTTTCAAGCCAAGGTGGCTGACTTTGGGCTGCTCAAGCGCCTCACTCACTGCGAGGGCGATGCCACCAGAGTGGCGGGCACTCCTGGCTATGTGGACCCTGATTACAACCGCACACGCGTGGTCACCACCAAGAGTGACGTCTTCAGGTTGGATTGCTTCTGAAATAAATGCTTATGAACATCCCTGCCTTATTTTTTCTTGCAATTGCTCCACGTGTATCTTCTAACTTGTGTCAAAGATTGTGTATGTTTTTATGCTTCTTGCCTGCCGGCAGCTTTGGCATCGTGCTTCTGGAGCTGCTAACTGGCTCGACGCCAATTCGCTACGAGTCACACATCAGAGATTGGGTACGGCATTGCAGACGAGGAATCACGAAATCAATCATTTTCCGCCATGGAGCAAATGTATCTACTGCCTCGTGCCATTGTGATGCGTCCATTCACCGCAGGCAATCCAGAAGGTTGAGGCATATGCACTGGAAGAGCTCAAGGACAGCAAGCTGGACGCAAGTGAAGAGGCCATAGTGGCCTTTGCCGACCTCGCTCTGGACTGTGTCAAGATGCCGGGCACACGGCGGCCCGACATGAAGGCCGTGGCTCACTCCCTCAACGCCCTGATAGAGAAGTTCTGCCCAGACAAGGAGCCGTGCGAGTTAGTGGAGAAGCTTTCATCCTTGGGGAGCCAATCCAGCCAGTCTGCGGTTCTCTCTAGTGGAACTGAAGGGCACAGTGGCACCAACCAGAGTGGCAGCTCCTCCAATGGCCTTGGTTCCAGGTTCCGTGTGTTAGACAGCTGGATGCAGCATCGATTTTCAGAAGGCTATTGACCCGATGCAGCATCCATCCTACACGACGTTTATCGTACAACAATCTGACTCCGTGCATTCGTGCGAGGATGTGTTGCAAATAAGGTGGTGCAATCCATGTCAGAAATAGCCGGCAAGAATGATTGACTAGTAGGGAAGAGTGAGTACAAGTACTAGGAATGACCTAAGGTGTTGTACTCCTTAGCGTATGCCCCACTACAGCAGAGATAACAAATGCAATTTGACACACCCCCATAGGCAAAGTGGGGGATAGCAAACACAACGGACGGTCACAAGACCAATCCAGCAAGAGAACAAAGCAAAGCAAAGCTCAGGGTGGATCTCAAGTTCACCACGCATTCCGAGCACAAGCTAGCGGCCACAAGGCCAGTTCACATGTAGAGTTATAAAAGCACAAGCAGTACAGTGATCACAACCTAGCAAGAGCAAGCATGTAGGTATATCTATAGATAGATCGCAGTACAAGACAAGTCAAACAACAGGCATGTAAGGCAGAGTAGGCACAAGGCCTAGAGCAGTGCAGAAGCGCTGATGATCACCAGACCCCAGGGCTTTGGTGAAGACATCAGCAGTGTTTGCCCGAGAGGACACTCAACCAAGGCGCAGCTGACCACGCTGTTGCAGCTCCCGAACAAGAAAGTAACAAAGAACAATGTGGTTTGTTCTGTGCTCCCGTCTCTGCTCCCGACACAAGGCAATCATGGCCTTGTTGTCGACGTACGAAACTGGAGAACGAGGCCGCTCACCCAGGACGGCTAGCAGGTAGGTCAGTCAGCGTAACTCCTGTGCAGCCATAGCCCCAGCATAGATGTCGGCCTCACATCTGGAACTAAGCACAGTGGACTAACGCTATGACGAACGCTGATTTTCCTGGTCGTCGGCCCAAGAAGCGTCGGAGTGTCCTGTGAGTACCACTAGACCCCGCCCTCCAAGCACAAGCCCCGTGCCCAATGTACTGCACAAGTAACCCAGTACCCTCTGCGCAACTGTCCAGTGCTCCTTCCTGTGTCTCCCGGGGGAGATGAAGCGAGCAAGGATGCTGAGAGGGTATGCAAGGTCAGGTCGTGTGCAAGATATGAGGTACACAAGGCAGCCCACAAGCTCGTCTCCTTGGACTCGTCCAAAGGTGGAGCTGAGAGCGAGTGACCTGTAGGCAGAGGAGTGGAGTGTGGCGAGGAGAACCGAAAGCCGAAGCGCTGAAGGACCTGGTGCACCATGTGCAACTGAGTCAGAGTGATGGTGATCTGCAAGCCAAGATAGCTACGCAGTTCACCCAGGTCAGTGCATATATGTCTCTTCTGCAGCTCCGCCTTCGCAAGGGTCAGTGCCTCAGTGTTAGCAGTAGCAAAGACCAAGTCGTCAACGTACACGAGGATGTAAAACGACGCCAGAGAAGGGTCGGTGCGCAGAAACAACGATGGGTCAGCAGTGGAAGGAGCAAACCCAAGAGTCGCAAGTGTCGTCCTCAGTGTGTCGTGCCACTCGTGGGGCACCTCGGAGAGACCGTAGACTAGCCCCGGGAGGCTCCACTGGGTACATTCAAGAAATGACCCAGTGAAGCCAGGTGGGCGGTGCACCTAAATCTCCTCGTGATGGCTGCTCTGCAAGAAAGTTGTGGAGAAGTCAAGGGAGTGCAGCTTGTAGTCATGCTGTGCTGCAACGTGCAGCAACACCCGAAGAGTAGTCATATTCGGGGTGGGGGAGAAGGTCTGGAAGAAGTCGACCCCCTGTCGCTGACTGAAGCCTCGAGCAACGTAATGCGCCTTGAAGGCAGGCGGAGAACCCGGCGGCCACTTCACTCTGAAAATCCACATGCCATCGACTAGGTAGGGACGACTGCAGTTGCAGGTAGAAAAGCAGACAGCGCGGCGCAGTACCCGTACTGTCAGCAGCTCCAGCACCCCCAGCTCCGGCACCTCCAGTACCACCAGCTCCAGCACCTCCAGTACCTCCAGCTCCAAGACCTCCAGCATCTCCAGCTCCAGTACCTCCATCCCTTGTAGCTCCAGCGCCTCCAGCACCAGCAGCTCCAGTACCTCCAGCACCAGCAGCTCCAGTACCTCCAGCGTCTCCAGCTCAAGTATCTCCAGCACCAGCAGCTCCAGCACCTCCAGCACCTCCAGCTCTAGTACCTCCAGCACCAGCAGCTCCAATACCGCTAGCTCTAGCACCTCCAACACCAGCAGCTCCAGCACCAGCGACTCTAGCACCTCCAGCACCAGCAGCTCCAGTACCTTCAGCACCTCCAGCTCTTCTACCTCTAGCACCAGCAGCTCTAGTACCTCCAGCAATAGCACCTCCAGCACCAGCAGCTCCAGCACCTCTAGCTCTAGCACCTCCATCACCAGCAGCTCCAGCACCTCCAGCACCTCCAGCTCTAGTTCCTCCAGCACCAGCAGCTCCAGTACCTCCAGCACCAGCAGCCCTAGTACCTCCAGCACCTCCAGCTCTAGCACCTCTAGCACCAGCAGCTCCAGTACCTCCATTATATCCAGCTCTAGCACCTCCCACACCAGCAGCTCCAGTAACTCCAGTACCTCCAACTCTAGCACCTCCAGCACCAGCAGCTCCAACACCTCCAGCACCTGCAGCTCCAGTACCTCCAGCACTAGCACCTCCATCACCAGCAGCTCTAGCACCTCCAGCACCAGCAGCTCCATCACCTCCAGCACCTCCAGCTCTAGCACCTCCAGCACCAGCAGCTCCAGCACCTCCAGCACCTCCAGCTCTAGTACCTCCAGCACCAGCAGCTCTAGCACCTCCAGCACCAGCAGCTCCAGCACCTCCAGCACTCCAGCTCTAGCACCTCCAGCGCCAACAGCTCCAGTACCTCCAGCACCTCCAGCTCTAGTACCTCCAGCACCTCCAGCTCTAGTACCTCCAGCACCAGCAGCTCCAGTACCTCCAGTACCAGCAGCTCTAGTACCTCCAGCACCTCAGCTCTAGCACCTCCAGCACCAGCAGCTCCAGTACCTCCAGTACCTCCAGCTCTAGCACCTCCAGCACCAGCACCTCTAGCACCTCCAGCACCAGCAGCTCCAGTACCTCCAGCACCTCCAGCTCTTGTACCTCCAGCACCAACAGCTCCAGTACCTCTAACACTAGCACCTCCAGCACTAGCATCTCTAGCACCTCCAGCACCAGCAGCTCCAGCACCTCCAGCTCTAGCACCTCCAGCACCAGCAACTCCGGTACCTCCAGCACCTCCAGCCCTAGTACCTCCAGCACCTCCAGCGCTAGCACCTCCAGCACTAGCAGCTCCAATACCTCCAGTACATTCAGCTCTAGCACCTCCAGCACCAGCAGCTCCAACACCTCCAGCTCTAGCACCTCCAGCACCAGCAGCTCCAGTACCTCCACTAACTCCAGCCCCAGCACCTCCAGCACCAGTAGCTCTAGCACCTCCAGCACCAGCAGCTCCAGCACCTCCAGCGCTCCAGCTCTAGCACCTCTAGCGCCAGCAGCTCCAGTACCTCCAGCACCTCCAGCTCTAGTACCTCCAGCACCAGCAGCTCCAGTACCTCCAGCACCAGCAGCCCAGTACCTCCAGCACCTCCAGCTCTAGCACCTCCAGCACCAGCAGCTCCAACACCTCCAGCACCTCCAGCTCTTGTACCTCCAGCACCAGCAGCTCCAGTACCTCTAGCACTAGCACCTCCAGCACTAGCAGCTCTAGCACCTCCAGCACCAGCAGCTCCAGCACCTCCAGCTCTAGCACCTCCAGCACCAGCAACTCCGGTACCTCCAGCACCTCCAGCTCTAGTACCTCCAGTACCAGCAGCTCCAGTACCTTTAGCACCAGCAGCCCCAGTACCTCCAGCACCTCCAGCTTTAGCACCTCCAGCACTAGCAGCTCCAGAACCTCCACTACCTCCAGATCTAGCACCTCCAGCACCAGCAACTCAAGTACCTCCAGTACCTCCAGCTCTAGCACCTCCAGTACCAGCAGCTCCAGTGCCTTTAGTACCAGCAGCTCCAGTACCTCTTGTACCTCTAGCTCTAGTACCTCCAGCACCAGCAGCTCCAGCACCTCCGGCACATGCAGCACCATAGCCCCCACCACCAGGATTGCCTCGCCGAACAACCCACTCATGAAGCTGCTGCGGTGAGAGGGTCTCCTGTCGACGAGACTGCTGCTGCTGACCAACGCCAAAACCCCCAACAGGAGCACCCACGACTCCACCACCACTAGGACTCACAGCACCCCCAGTGTCAGCACCCCCAGAACCGGCACCCCCAAAGTCAGCACCCCCCTAGAACCAGCACCCCCAGACTCAGCAACCCGCGGACCAGCACCCCCATAGTCCGCACCCTCAAAGTCACCACCTCGAGCAGCACTAGAGTCCACAACGACAGGCCGCGGAGGCGGCGTAGACGCCCGAGGCGGACAATTAAAAGGGGTCTCCAAGCGCGGGGAGCGCCGAGTGGCCGTCGTGTCGTTAGCAGCGGGTGCACCCCCCTCAGCTGGGCCAGAGATGTCAGAGGAGACCTCCGAAGGCTCAACCAAGGGAAGTGGGTCGACCTGAGACACACCTGAGGGAGCAGGACCCTGAGGGGGGAGGGGGTCTTTTGGGGGGGGACCTAAGACCAAGAAGTGGGGCAACGGGGAGAGTGGGGAGGACACATGCGGGTGGGGACGGTAGAAGCAGACTGACTCATCAAAGGTGACGTTCTGTGAGGACAGGACGCGGCACGAGGCAGGGTGGTAAAACTGCAAGGGCAGGGCGTCGGCAGAGAAGCCAAGGAAGACGCAGCAAAGAGTGCAAAGAGAGAGCTTTCCCATTGTGGTATCGCGGACAAAGGAGAGCGCGCCCCAAACCCAAAATGCCGACACATCGCCAACCTCCCCCGTCCAATACAGTGTAGGCGAGGTCTTTGGCACAGAGACACGGGGTCAGAGGTTGAGCTGATGCGCGGCGTATCAGACCGCAAATGGCCACAGAGATTGGGGAGCAACGGCATGGATCATGGAGGTGCGAGCAACCTCCATGACCAAGCCA